AAAGAGTTCGGCAGTTTCTTATGAAAACATGCAACTGTCATGTGAATCCCAGAGAACTGACGACTTACATCTTCCTCACGTTACATTACTAAAGCAGCTTTATTCATAACAGCCCAACACTGGAAACAACCTAGGTGTCCTTCAAACAAAGCGTGGTATAGCCACCCCCTGGAATACTACTCAGCAATTAAAAGGAACAAACTAATGATACTTGCGACACCTGAATGAACCTCCAGAGGACGCTGCTGAATGAAAAATATCCAATCCCCAAAGGTTACACACTGGGCGATCCCATTATATATCAGTCTCGAAATGACAAACTCATAGAAATCACAGACTGCAGTAGTTGCTAGGGGCTAAGGAGGAGGTGGAGTGGAAAGGAAGTGGCTGTGGCTACAAAAGGGCAGCGAAGGGCCCTGGGGCGAAGGAGACCCCTGTCCTCACACAGCAGAGTCAGTGTCCTGGGTGTGCTCTTCACTGTGGTTGGCAGCGTGTTATTATTAAGGAAGACTGGGTAAAGGGTGCTGGGGAATTCTGTTACTTCTCACAGTTGCACAAGAATTTACAATTATCTCAAAAAGTTTAATTAAAGGTAAACTTATTGCAAAATAAGCATAGCAACTGACAAGAAATCCACCATCAATTAAATGATTAAACTCTCTCCAGCCCAAGTTTAATTCTGAAGACTGAACTTCACTCTGAACCAGAGTTTAACACACATTTTCCTCACCCACACGTGCACACAAACACAGCAACGGTAACAAGGCAGTACAGACAGGAAAGCTGAGACCTCCCTAACGACAGGACACAGAGGAAAGAGACCTGGGCTGAATCAGGACAAAAACCCTCCTCCAGGTTCTATCAAACAAACGGGCTGTGTGACTTGGGAACATCACCCAACCTCTCAGGTCCCCACAACCTAAACTTTTAATCTGGGAAACTGCTTAGACCAGCACTTTTCAAACGTTTTGGTCTCAGGCCCCCGAAGAGTTTTTGTTTACAAGGATTACGACCACTGATATTTGTAGTATCAGAAATTAAAACAAAATTTTCAAAAGGCAAGTGGTCCTTCGACCACTTATAGCGTCTGGAAAACTCCACGACACTCACAAGAGAATGAGAGTGAAAAGGGCAAGGAACAGCTTGGAATGGCCGAGGACACAACTGTGACCATTCCACGGCTTACTCTGAAATGAGATCAGTGCATAAAAGGGACTTGAAAGGTAGAGAACACCGAACAAATCAGCCACATCAGTTCTTTTAACAGAAAAGGGCGCCAAGGCAGGAGAAAAAGGCTCCAATCCCAAGGAGGTCGATACTGGGTAAAATGGGGGGGCTTCTGAAGGCCTGGGAGGCCAAGTCAGTGGGCCAGCCCGCCACCGGCCCGCTCTCGCGCGTTCGGGACCGTTACAGAAACCGCCCCCGCTTCAGACTCAACTTCAGGGAAGACGGGAAGCCCCGCGAAGCCTCGGCCGCCGGGAGGGGCCATGGCAGGAGGGCGGGGGTCCCGGAGAGGGGGGGCGGGGGACTCACCAGGTGCCGCGCCACCTCGGAAGACATGATACGGGCGGGGCTGGGCGGGCGGAGGGCCAGCGAGGCGGCTGCAGCCGGCCGAATGGCGCGTCCGTCGGCTGAGGGGCGCTAGGGGCGGGGCGGGCAGGAGGGAGAAAGGGAGGAGCGGCGGAGAGGGGTCCGGCGGACTCAGTGACGTGGAGGGCCGGGCGGGATGGCGCGGGGCGGGGTCCGGTCGGGAAGGAAGGGGAGCTGAGGGGAGGGGTCCCGCGGCCTCAGTGACGTGGGGTCCGGGCGGATGGCGCGGGGGGCAGGGGTCCAAGAGGGAGGGGAGGGGAAACGACAGGAGGGGTCCAGCGGCCTCAGTGAGCTGGGGGGCGGGGCGGTCTGCGCGTCTCCACCGCGCCCAGATGCCGCGCGCGCGAAGCGGGCCTGTCACAGGAGTGCCCCGACCTTTTAGAGAACGACCAGTTGGTGCCGGGGAGGGAATGGAGCACACTCGGGACGCGAGGAGAAAGACGCGCGGAAAAGCGGACGCTGCTTTTCCGACCGCCGGGGCGGGGCTGGAGCACAGATTGCGGTCGGAGCGGGCGCCGGAAGTGGGCGGGGTCGGGGCGTGTCCCCTGGCAGGAGCGGCCATTGCGGACCGCTCACGGGCCGGAAGTGGGTGGAGCCAGGGCGTGTTCTCCGGGGAGAGCACTGATTGCGGCCTGCGCGGGGACTGAAAGGGGGCGGGGCGGAGAGGAGCGGGGCCAGCGGGAGCTGTAAGGCGGCCAGTGCGAAAGCCGGAAGTGGGCGTGTCCGTCCGGCGGAGGCGTGTCCGCGGGCGCGGCCGGGGGGCGGTGGCGGCTAGTCAGGCCGCTGCGGCGCGCGAGGAGCCTGAGGAGGGGCCAGCCGTGTCGGTGCGGAGCCGGCCAGGTGCGCGGCCGCGGATGGAGGGTCCAGTGGAGTGCGGGGCCCGGGACCAGGCCAAGCTGGAGCAGCCCGTCGGCGGCGCCCTGGGTGGGACGCCCGAGCAGCGCGCCCGCGGCCGCCTCAGGGAGCCGGGGCACTCGGCGGCAGCCCCCGCCGACCCCGCGGACGGCGCCCCGAGCGCGCCCCCGGGGAGGCGGCCCCGCGGCGGTCCCGCGGAAGAGGGCGCGCGGCCCGAGGTGCCTGGCGATGCGCCGCGGCCCGGCCGCCCCGCGCCCCGGGAGGCGGCGGGCGGCTCCCCGCAGCTGCGGCGCGGCCCCGGGGGCGCGGACGGCGCGGCGGCAGAGGAGGAGGGCGCGGGCGCTCTGACGCTGGACCCGCTGGAGCACGCGTGGATGCTGTCGGCCGCCGACGGCCGCTGGGACAGCCTAGAGGGGCTGCTGGCCTGCGAGCCCGGGCTGCTGGCCAAGCGCGACTTCATCACCGGCTTCACCTGCCTGCACTGGGCGGCCAAGCACGGCCGGCAGGAGCTGCTGGCCCTGCTGGTGCGCTTCGCGGGCCAGCACCGGCTGCCGGTGAACATCAACGCGCGCACAAGCGGCGGCTACACCGCGCTGCACCTGGCGGCCATGCACGGGCACGTGGAGGTGGTGAAGCTGCTGGTCGGGGCCTACGACGCGGACGTGGACGTGCGCGACTACAGCGGCAAGAAGCCTTCGCAGTACCTGAGCCCGAGCACCGCCGAGGAGATCCGGACCCTGGTGGGCGCCCTGGACGAGGACGAAGCCGAGAGCACGGCGGGCAGCGGGGGAGGGCGCTGGAGGCTCTCGAGGGTGCTGCCCTCGACCCTCATCTCCGGCAGGCTCTCGCACGCTCTGGAGGACGGCGGGGACCACCACCACCATCACCATCACCTGGCCGAGGGATTGGCTGCGGGCAAAGCGAAGGAGCCAGGTCGCAAAGCCTCGGGCAGCTCTAGTGGGCGGATGAAACCCAGACTCAACAAAATCCGCTTCCGAACCCAGATCATCCACACCACACCCTCCTTCAGAGACCCGGAGCAGCCCCTGGAGGAGGGGGAGGACGAAGAGGAGGATCGGTCTTTTAAAGGCCACTCATCCTCATTCAAACTGAGACCCAAGTCCAATGTATTCGGGTAAAAATGATTTCTTTTAGAACGTTCTAAGACTTGTTCGTCGTCTTAGGAATAGGGTACTAGGTGTAGACAAGGAAGTGAGACCAGAAGAGACTTAAGTTAAATGCTGCATTTTTACTTCGGGGGGGGGGTTGGAAAGGATGGGGAGGAATTCTCCTTAGCAGTATGGCTGCAGTGGATTTCCAAGCGATTCCTCAAACCTTGACCTAGGCCTCTTTTCCCACTGCCACCCTTCTGCGCTGGGGTCCCTGTTTCTAAGGACTGAAAGTGTATCAAAATCAGGTGCTGAGTTGATGATTGAGGGTCCCTTTGATTGAAACATTGCCGGCTACCATGCAGATTAAGGAGCATTGCACACTCGTATCTGTTTTTAATAGTGGTGACTCTTCCAAGAGCAACAGGAAATGCAAATTGTAATGAAGCTGGTAGTGTTTGTAAGTGTGAACAAACCGACATACTACCCTGTGTTTTTACTAATTGCATTTGATTTTAAGATGCTACTGAAGGTCAGGTCAGAGTTGAAATGCACAAATACTAATTAGAGAATAATGTGAATACAATTGGAAATCTCTTGGTACCCTACTTGTAAGTAGTGTTCACCTCTTTTCAAAAGCAATTTCAGCTTTGGTCACTGAACTAAAGAAATAGGCAACATTCACTTTTGAGTTAATCTGTTGTGTGGTTTCCTCTTAATTATCTCTAATACTACTGCACTTAGTATTAAGGTACATTATTAATAACTACACAAATTTTTATTTATAGAAAACACTTTTTAACAACCTATGGTACTTTTAAGTAAATATTACCTCTGGTTCTGATTTTCACTAACTTGTTTTGCTTTTCCAAAAGTCTGAATTTGTCTGAGTTTTTATTCTGGGGGTAATTTAACCGTTGGTTCTGCTTGGCATGACCCTATTTGACAGTGCTTAGAGTTGAATTGCCTACAGAAACTGTTTCTGGTTTAGATTATTAACAAAAATTGACATAAATGTTAATGAACTGATGCTTCTGTGAAGTAATTATTAAATCAACTTAATATTCTCACATAAGGTACAGTTTTTTTTTTTTTTTTTTTTGCGGAACGCGGGCCCTCACTGTTGTGGAGCACAGGCTCCGGACGCGCAGGTTCAGCGGCCATGGCTCACGGGCCCAGCCGCTCCGTGGCATGTGGGATCTTCCCGGACCGGGGCACGAACCCGTGTCCCCTGCATCGGCAGGAGGACTCTCAACCACTGCGCCACCAGGGAAGCCCAAGGTACACTTTTTATTTTACTAATGAAATACATTCATAGTCTCAATACTTTGTAGCAATGTTTTGCAAATGTTTAAAATACTCAATCTTTTCAGTTTTCCAGTGTTTCCTTGAATCTATTAGAGACATGGAGTGAAGTTATTGGAAAGCTGGCTAGTAAATCTACCCAGTTAAAAATAGCACTTTATAAAAGGGAAAAGAAAATGGATGGGGCTATTTCTATATTTAAATGCTGCTGGCTATTGAATCCCTTCACATATAAGTGAAAAAATATCGGTCATTAAAATTAAAGACTCGTTTAACTGTGGTTCTTAATTATATTTCGTTCAAATATGTTAGGGTGAATGTCTTTATAATTATTGTTCAATTTAACTCAGAGTCATATTAAATTCACTTGTAACAAGATTCAGAACGACTTGTGGGAGACTGATTCCAAAATGCCCTTCTCCCTTGGTCTTTTTGGTCTCATAGTTGCTGCAGTATAAGTATTGCAGCCTATAGTGATGACAGAGTGAGTTAACAGATTGCAGAGTGAATGAACCAATACATGAATTGCACAGAACTGCAGTGTTTAGAGAGTTCTTAGATCTTTAATTTCCAAAGTTGTAGAAATTTGTTAACAAGTTGGTCACACCTCTCTAGACAGCAATTGATTTTGTTTAAAGACTAACGAAAAACATTCACATAAAATATATAAACTATTGTCCATTTGTGTGCCTTTACTTTTGTTTTAGGATTATGGAAGTGGGATGTGTACATTTGAGAAGCACTTTTATCCATACGTGTGGGTGAAAATCTAATTTTGTATAAATCAAAATTAGGTTCCTTGAAGGTGAAAAGCAGTCATTTGTTCCGGATCATACCCACATTGCCTGTATCTAGTGCGGGATAAGTTGTAACTTCTCACTGAGTCTAAGGTTTCAAGGACGTGTGGAGCCAAAGTGAACCATAAAAACACTGCGGAACCACCTCCATGTTCCACTGAACAGTGTTAATCTCTCAAATGTGTATGTTAGTGCCTAATTGCACAGAATCTGTAACTTGCTAGATCTTTAGGGATTGAGTCAATACTTAACTTGCTTTTCACATTAAAGAATTCAACTTTTCTTATAAAATATACTTTAAAATTTCAAAAATCCTTCCTGGGGGAACTTTTAGCATTCCTTGTCATGATGTACTTGTGTGTAGTAAGTGCAGCATTTTCAGCTGCTTAACTCTGTTCCTCTTGTTTTTTCAATTTCCAAATTGAGATTATAAAAAGCAAGCGATTTGTGTAATTTGATGTTTGTGGAGTTGTGCCTACCATTAATGGAAATATGCACGTCAGTTACTCAGAGGTCGTTGATGTGAAACTGTGGTTAGAAATTCCAGGTGTGTCGGTGTGTTTCTTATAGGTGCACTGGACACTAGTGAATTTGTCACAGCTCTCTTCACTTTTATGGTGTATAAAGTACAGCTAGCTTACAAAACTTGAAAATATGGCACTAGTCTATTCATGCCTGAAATCTTGGAGTCCAGGATGCCTTGTCTCTTACTTTTCAAATAAGTGAAACTTTGGGAATTTAGAATGTAAAATTTGTAAAGTTTGTTTTGTCAAAATAAAACGTTCACACTAGATTTTTCCTCTGAATTGTCTAAATCGCTATAGTTCTTTATATTTTTACCTGTCTGGGGTTTTACATTTCACACAATGCTTTTTGAAGTTTGCATCTATTTGATCCTTTTTCTATCCCTTAAGTCACTGGCCATATATCCTTAATTTACAGATAAGGGAATGAAGGTTGATGCTGTTCAGGGTCACAAAGTCAATGGCAGTAAGATCTCAAGACTTGATGCTTTTCCACAACATTATCTTTTCTGCCCTTTGAATTGCCAAATTTTGGCAAAGGTTCTGCAGCTGGGCACCAGTGGTGGAGGAATCAGCTTGGGGAGAGGGTAGTACCTCTACCACTACCTTAAAAAAAAAAATTCAAATGAAAGGACCGGCAAGGGATTAATCTCCAAAACATGCAAACAACTTATAGAGCTCAATATCAAAAAAAAAAAAAATCAAAAAATAGGTGGAAGATCTAAATAGACATTTCTCCAAAGAAGACATATAGTTGGCCAAAAAGCATATGAAAAGATGCTCAACATCACGAATTATTAGAGAAATGCAAATCAAAACTACAATGAGATATCACCTCACACCAGGAAGAATGGCCATCATCAAAAAATCTACAAACAAATACATGCTGGAGAGGGTGTGGAGCAAAGGGAACCCTCTTACACTGTTGGTGGGAAGGTAAATTGGTGCAGCCACTATGGAGAACAGTATGGAGGTTCCTTAAAAAACTAAAAATAGAATTACCGTACGACCCAGCAATCCCACTCCTGGGCGTATATCTGGAGAAAAGTGTAATTTGAAAAGATAAATGCACCCCAATGTTCATTGCAGCACTATTTACAATAGCCAGGACATGGAGGCAACCAAAATGTCCATCAACAGAGGAATGGTTAAAGATGTGGTACATATATACAATGGAATATTACTCAGCCACAAAAAAGAATGAAATAGTGCCACTTGCAGCAACATAGATGGACCTAGAGATTGTCATACCGAGTGAAGTAAGTCAGACAGAGAAAGACAAATATATGGTATCCCTTGTATGTGGAATCTAAAAAGAGGGGTACAAATGAACTTATTTACAAAACAGAAATAGAGTCGCAGATGTAGGAAACAAACATGGTTACCAAAGGGGAAAGGGGGGGGATAAATTGGGAGATTGGGATTGACATATACACTCTACTATATATAAAATAGATAACTAATAAGAACCTACTGTATAGCACAGGGAACTCTATTCAGTACTCTGTAATGACCTATATGGGAAAAGAATCTAAAAAAGAATGGATGTATATATGAGTGTAACTGATTTACTTTGCTGTAAAGCAGAAACTAACACAACATTGTAAATCAACTATACTCCAATAAAAATTAATTTAAAATAATTTTAAAAACCCATGGCTCAAGCACACACCAGCTACCAAAAACCCTCCCTTCCCAGACTGGAGCTTAAGGAAGATGGGAATGCCTTTTTCCATTTTCTTTAATATCTATCAAACATTGGACATTAATGAATTTATTTCCTCATCGAGGTTGCCTTTGATCTTTGTTTTAACCAAGCTCAGCAGGTGGCAGAGGGACTTGTGAATCTTTGCTGTAACTGTCCGCCATTGGTCCCTCTCAGGAAGATCCTGCTATGATTGCTGCTGGGGCTTTTTGTTGTTGCTGTTAATTTATGACAGCTTATAAAACAAGATAAGTCTAGTTTTTGTTTCTAGAATGACTTCTTTCCTTAGAAGTACTTATCTTAAAAGGATTCATTGAGGAGTCCCCATGAAGATATCTTTAATTTTTCCTAGTGAAAGTACTTTTTGTTTTGCTAAATACATGGTATTATTTAGAGTTTCTTGTAAATTAATCCTAAAAGTACTTGGGAATTTGCTGCAAACCAGTGTTCCTTCAATGATGAGTCAAATAGTTAACTATTAGAGGGCTGGAAGGTGACCCTTCCTGAACCTGTTTTTCAACATATAGCAGCAGTTGTTTGCAACACTATCAGATTTCTTTTTTCTGAAGTATACTGCTTTCATGTTACCAAACTTTTTTCTCCTCAATCTTCTCTTCAAATGTCAGTTTTGTCTCAGGAAGTGACTTCCCCATTCAGCTAATAAAGTGTCTGCTCTTCCATATTGGGGAATGAATGACA